CATATTTTCATCCAACAAGCAGCCATCCATCACGGATATCGCATGCCAATTTTCAATTGATTAATGGGTCCTCTCTAAGTTTTACACATACATTACCTTTCCATCTCTACAAAGCACAAGCTACAATGAAAGCTCTAATATAGCGGTAGCAAATATTCAGTAACTCCATCACTTAGCCTTCCTCGAGAGATTTTATATTTCAAGATTCGCAGACTTTGGAGGTATCGAAGCCATGAGAGCAGTGAGAGATACGAGAACTTCCCCCCCCCCCCACACCCCCCCCCCCCCCCCCCTCCCCCAACAAACCAAAATCAGGCAGTAAGCAAGCATTCTGAGGGTATAGCAATTCAGTGGGGGCATCCCAACGGCCACCTTCTGATACTGAACTATTAATCCCCTGCATTGTGCTGTTTAAAAGCTGCATTCCCTCTTCACCCATCTGCTGAACTTCAGCTGGCGATAGGATTCTGATGCACCGGACACAGCCAACAAATTCCCTGCATATTCATATAAAATCAAGACCATTGGAGAATAAGTTTTCCAACTATTTAGAAATGATTGGTGAAAAAAACCTTCACTAGAAAAAAGCACTCAAAGTAAACCCAAGGCAATAAAATTTTTGACATGCCAAAGACTCGAATGCTGCTACAAGTAATTCTGAAAATCCTTCTGTTTTACTGTGCATGACAAGATCTAACATGGCATGTGTCAAACTGTAAGAAATATACAAAGGAGCTCCGAAAACACAATGAAGGTATCCATTGGTCAATTTGCTGCACATGCAACAGCCCGTGCAGTTTTACCCTCAGAAGAAAAATCACTATGCATGAATAAATAAATAACTAATGGAACTTACTCCCAAGGATCATCTCCAACAAGAAGAACATCATTTTCAAAATCCACATACACCAGTTTCCATCCCGAACCTCTTGAGTCGTTGAGCAGCCCCTCAAGTCCAAACATCCGTTCAATTTCAGAGCATAGTTCATCATAATTCTTAAAACTCGAGATATCAATTGACCTTCCAACAGATCCTGCCTTCTGTATCTGCCAGTCAATGTGTGTTCCATCAGACACATATCAGGACAATAAAAAACAGAATCAGAATTACGAAACAAGATTCAGGTACAAGCAAAGCAGTTCATGGAAAATCAGAACACTAGTCCATGAAAAACCAAACTGGAGACTAATAGGAACAGAGGCAGGTGGATTCAATCATGTTTAGTAAATGAGTGTTAATTTACCTCGCATCAACTTCAAAAACAATATGTAAAAAGAAGACTCATATCGAGAAGCACTTGTTTGTCTGCATTTGAGTGTTTTTCCGTTCACACTATAAGTGACAAACTCAGTTTAGGGTCAACCAACAAGACAATGGCTCCAATAATTCATCTAGTGATTGAGATTTTAAAACAATGCACCAATGTCCTAAATCCTCGTCTCCTGAAATAAACCATTATGCTATTTGCTATACGGCAAGACATGTCTTACCTTTGTGTAGGTTCGCACCCGTGGAGTTACTTGTTGCCATGAGCTGTTCTGCAAAAGGCTGGTGTCATCAAAATCCACATTCCTTGAAGATGCACCACCTGAGTTATCAGCAAATTCTTGCACACAGAAAGCCTGAGAGTCTGCTAGGCTGGCTGATGTTATCTGCGACTGAACATCTTGGCTTGAACTGAAGTTGCCCACCAGATAATCTGAAGCATTTTGGAAATCGGCATCCTTCAGTGCGCAAAACTCATCCAATACCGTACTTGAAACAGAAGGATCAACTACAGTGCTTCCACCACTACTACCATCAAAGTTAAAACAACTGTATATATCACTTTGACTATGGCTCTCATCTGACAAATCTTTGAAATTATTGAACTTAGATGTGCCATGAAAGCTAGGTAGGTCTTGCTGAGGTAGTGGAACAAGATGGTTTGATTGGGACAAACACCTCGAATTATTCATTTGATGATCCCACATTTCATGACCTATTGAAGATTCAAGTGATCTAAAAGATCCGGCAAGAGACTGGCTTGTGGAAGAATATGCATTCCATTCAATAGTGTCAGAGTATTGAAATAAACCATTAAGAGTAGCAGATTCTAGTTGTGATGCATCAATTTGTTCAGTGGGAAGGATATTGGCATCCAACTGTGCCTGCGTAAGCCATGAACTTGTCTGCAATTGCGATGAACCATGGTTCTGATCAAGGAATGCCAGCTCATTAATGAGGCTATGTGGATTTATAGGTTTCACACCCAATTTGTCTTCATTGCATTGTCCCACACAAGATGTAATCTGGCTTAACTGATCTGCTGCCAGTATAAGTTCTGAGTTATTCATGTCAGTGTTAGTTCCAGATGATGCTTGGTTTCCAAGTTTGTTTGGAGGTTGCAGTTTCCTTGGTAGATTTGTTTGTAGCGGAAAGTTTGGATTTATCGTATTGGGTCGGTCAACTGGGAATTGAGGATGTTGTGCACTTTGTGGAGGCATATTTTCTGAGGGCTGAAGCTTCTGCTTGATCGCTGGCTGCATCAAAATCTTGGCCTCTTGTGATGGAGCAGCCTTCAAAGTGGGATCTTGTATAGCAGGTGCAATTTTTCCAGGATGGTCAACACTTTGAGGTTTTATCAGCCTCTTGATTAGTTCTTCTGACCAGATGCTTGAAATAGAGGGATATGCAAGATCCCCATTTAGAATGTCAGGGACACGAATGAAAGGCCTATTTATCATATTCTCCCAATCAGCTTGTGCCCCTGATATATAGTACAACAGACATTCCATGAATATTTTGGAAATTGAAGCGCCTGATGACAGAATAAAGTTTAACTTACCCAACTGTAAAGGTCGTTTAAGACCTGAAGTAAGAGAAGGAAACATGAAGAGACTTTCAGGGGTCTCAATTTCCCAAGGACTAACTCTGTTCTGCTTATCACCGGAACCAGGCTCATCCCACTCCACCTGTTTGAGAAAAAAGAGAAGAAAATTAAATCCTGAACTATGATAGCAAAAACAGGCTTTGGAAATTATACAACTTTGCTGGATTTTGATCATAAGACCAAGCATTAAGGTCAAAAGACGGGATTCTGTATAGACGCTAGTTCAATTCAAACTTGGCCTTAAATTTCGATCACCTGAAGACTGCGCCACTTGGAACCAGGCCACCTTGGTGGATCTAAGTCACTTATGCCAACAATTGTACCCATATATCTGCACAAGGTTCAGAAAGTGTCAATCACCTCTCCACATATTTGAGGCAAAAAGCATGTTAGAAATCACACACAAACATGCGGGTTGACATCTAAGTAAATTAGTTGAGACCCCCGAGAAAGTTCGAGTTGATGGGGATCGTGTAGGAATTGGATAGATTAATTATGATAGTTATTTAGATACTTTTAATATTTATCGTTTAAGTAATTTCTTTTAACTTTTAAGGGTGTAGTTGTCATTATGACTATTTATTTCTTTTAGAGTTCTTTTAGGATTTGTGTTCTCCCTATATATATAAGGAATATGGTATTTGTTTTGGGGGACTTTGATTATTGATTATTGATATTGAATGTTCTTCTTAAAATTCTCTCTCTATTATCATCCCTTTCTTCTTCCTTCTCATCCCTAATTCTTCCCTAATATGATCTATATCAATTTGATATTAGAGCCCAACTTTGATTCGTACAAATCACAAAAAAAAAAAAAAAAAAAAATTCACTGCTCATCTGTGAAAAAAAAAACTGTCCCAATAGATTTAGAAAATTACAGCAAAATCCCAGTTGTTTCAGAAATTACAGAAGCATTCCAGAAAGTTGCAGAACTACTACCAGAAGTTTCAAAAATTACAGAATCTTTCCCCAAAAGTTCCAGAAATTGCAGAATCATCCTCAAAAGTTTCAGAATTTCTTCTTGATTATGGTATGCGTACTCCCATAAAATTTGAGACTAATATTTTTATTCATTGAAAAATTAGAGAATTTGCAAAGGATCCAAAACTTATTTTCTTCTATTTAAGTTTTCTCACTTCTCTTATGTTATTCTCATCTTTCAAAGTCAATCATGAGTTCATATGATCATTATGATGCCTATTCATATACTTATCCAACATCAAGAATGTCTAAAGTTCATAGTTCTCCACAACATCATCACTATACCTATTCCACTCCTAGAGCTTCTTGGAGTCATCATAAAGTTCATAATAAGTTTGAGTTTTATTATGAAAATTATCTAGAATACTACTCCGGGACACTTAGGTCACATAACAGTTACTAACGTCATGCTTCCCAAAGTTGTCGTCAAGGTCAATTTAGATCAATCTTCAATGTTATTAGTGACCATTCAAAAGCTCAAACTGCCCTAGGAAAAAAGGTTGAGATCTTTGAAATTGAAATTGCCAATAGTAAACATTCACTCGGCCAATTACGTGAAGAATGTAGAGGGGTGAAAAACCAATTATATGAATTAACAAGTCAATTTTCCCACTTGAATAAAATTCTTGCAAGTCAGCAAATGGAAGAAAATAAGGACAAGTCTCCAGTTTCACCTAATGTCAGACACCCGCATAATGATAGCCATATTTCTGTTCCATTGGACCCTCATGCTTTACAACCTTCAAAACATACTTTCAATTTTTTGAACATTGATACTAGTGATGAGATTATTTTTGATCCTATCATGTTTCCTACCTCATTGGTGCCAAAAGTTAAAACATCACTAAGCATTGAAGTTGATAAAAAATCCATTCAGTTGGTTCTTATGCAAGATGTTGAGCATATTGAGCTATCTATTTTATAATCTGTTGGCAATTATTATATGGCTTCTATTCCGAATCATGATGGCATTGTTGTGGATTCTTCTTCATTTGAGATTGTTGATTTTGTTTCGGATTTTTCTCCACCTGAGAGATTGTTGACATTGTTCTAGATTCTACTCCACTTGAGAGTGTTAACTTTGTTTCTTTGCCTGCAGTCAAGTGTTCAATTGAGTCTGTACTTTCTTATTTTCAGCACCAGGGTGTTATAATTACTCCTTTGTCATTGATGTCTTATCCCACTGAGTGTCTTTTGTTCAAATCTAATGAGAATTGTTTTGTTATTCTTGAGTTTGGATCTAATGCTTATTTGCTTAATTTTTCATTGAATGTTAGTATTAGTCCAGATTTTTATTTGGAGGACATGCTACTTAATCGAGGTACTCCAGAGCCTCCTATTTTGTTATCAGGTGTTTCTACAACTGGAATTGCTTCTTCCTCAGCATTAGCTCCAGCTCTTATCTTTCTACTTCCATCGCGTATTTCAGGGCAAATAAATGATGTGTTACGTGATCAGATTTACATTGCTACAGATGAAAATTCTTGCATTTATTCTGATCGATGGAAAGATATTAATGGTTCTTTCATTCTAGATGAGACATTATGTCATCTCCATCCTACTCTCTTGGGGTACTTCTATTTTGAAGACTCTTCAGAGGAGAATGATGAGGATTGTGTAGGAATTGGATAGATTAATTATGATAGTTATTTAGATACTTTTAATATTTATCGTTTAAGTAATTTCTTTTAACTTTTAAGGGTTTAGTTGTCATTATGACTATTTATTTCTTTTAGAGTTCTTTTAGGATTTGTGTTCTCCCTATATATATAGGGAATATGGTATTTGTTTTGGGGGACTTTGATTATTGATTATTAATATTGAATGTTCTTCTTAAAATTTTCTCTCTATTTTCATCCCCTTCTTCTTCTTCTCTCATCCCTAATTCTTTCCTAATACGATCTACATCACAAGTTGTTTCGAATTTCTTCATGTTTCTTTGTGTTTTGTACCATGACTTCAAAAAAAAATGTTGCAGAAGCGGAAAGAAGAGAAGATGGCCAAGCAACTCTTATAGGTAAAGTATGCAGTCATGCGGAAAAGAAAAGATGGGCTGCATAATATCAAGTTACCTGCGTTTACCCGACTCCTCCGTTTCAAACATCATTCCAAACCTCATACCAATTGAGAGTTGGGTTCCATATACGGATTTCCGAAATTTGGCCAAAGGAATGACGAATTCTGAAGGGCACGCCCTACAAAGAAGTGAAAAGCCCAACAAAATTAGGCAATAAAACAAACTGATTGATCAATTAGAATCAGCAAAAACAGGTGAAAACCTGTGAAAGACATACATACCTTGGATTGTAGAAGATAGTAAATGGACTTCGATTTGCAGCGGCATGAGCCGCAGCAGCAAGGACTCCAATGTGCATGCTATCAGCAGATAGAACTGACGATGGCAAAGAAGTTTGCTGACGATTTGCACGCCTCACACCCAACAATAATTGTGACTTTTCATCCCTATCAAAAAAATAATAATAATATCTTCAGACATGCGAGGTTCAATTAGCTGGTGCACAAGGAAAACCAGGCTGACTAGTTGGAATCTATTAATAAAGATATTCCTATCCAACGATGTAAATGATAGACTATTATGTAAATTTGTAGTTGTGAGGACGCAAGACAATCCAGATAGAAAAAAGACGTGCCACTGAAGAATACTGCTACTGAAAACATTTGGATAAGAGCCAGATCAGCTACTTACAATGATCACTATCTAAAATGCCATTTCAAGTATTGGTCCTTAGACCAAAAGCTGCACCATCAGGAATATTGAGTGTCTCACTTGTTATGATAAATTCAAAGATTGAATAGTTGGTTGTAATTCAATCCAATTTAGGAAATAAGTAAGCATAAACAAAGAGGCACAAACAGGATCACATGCTCGGCAGTTACACACATACGCTCATAGAAACACACACTGTTTGTATCTGTGTGTACTGTTGAATCCAAAACTTCGCACTATTTGCAGCTTAAAGAAATATGAAAAAAACTATGAAAGATTATGTAAATCTAGAGGAAAAAAGTATATGTCTGATAAATACCTAATGAATAGAACAGCATCACCTGCTTTAAGCCTTTTTGCACCCACAAACATACTCCAGCCAGTTGTAAGCAGGTGCCGTTTCGGCTGCCCTACAGAAAGACGCAATAGAAAGCATACTAATAAGAGACAAATCAAAGAAAACAAAAGGAAAGGGAAAAAAATCAAACGTGCAGAACAGTCGTTATTGAATATTTCAGAGTTAAAATCATAAAATGAACCCTACACGGGGACACTGAGCATCAAACCACATTATCTCAACAAAACATAATTTGGTCTACAAATGAACTTGAAAGAACATATCATAGCATCCTCACCACGGTATATATGACGAAATGTCCAGGTATTATCATGCAAGTCTCGGACAACAAGCTCTTGAGTGGGAGGTTGCATTGAATAATCCTAAGAAATAAAGAATCAAAAATGAAGATACTAAAGGATAATCTGAATACAAGAGTCCATCGCATCGAAGCTAGTAAGGGTATCTCATTCAACGAGATAACAGCCTCACCAATTGCGGAAAGAGTTTTTCTGCTGCCCTACGAGGAACTGAGAAGCCACCATGTGTGCTTGTATCACTTGCAGTCAAAGTTTTGCAGAAAAACTCACTTGGATGTTTACCAGGTTTTAGTCCAAAGTCTGGTATGGGGAAGATATCCTTTTCCTGCTCAAGAAGCAGATGCAAACTCATAGTTAAGTAAAGATGTCCTATATTGGCAATACCTGCCACAATTTCATTATGATTTATTCTTCAACTTATAGGATCTTATTAAGTGATAAGATCAAAAATATTTGATATTAGCTTAGCTCACAGAGTTCACTGGTTGAAGGCTCATTTGGGCATAGATCTCATCAGTATCTTTGTCTGCCTGTCAATCAAAAGAATGGGTAAGACTGTGGAAGATGTTCCTATAAACAAATACATTACGTTAAATGTATGTAGGTTTTTATCTATACAAAGATGAGGGAAATATCAGTGAAAAGCACATACATGTTGTGTAACATTGTGAACTTGGCACAACAACTGAGATGGGAGATTTGGATAGTTAGGGATTTGAGAGGTTGCTGTTCTATTTGTGGAAACTGCCACCTGTTGTGACAAGTTTAAGAGTCCATTAGCTCTGGGCAACAATATATGAATATTCACACATAACCAAAAGCTCTTGATGGAACAACCAAAAACAAGTCAAAAATTTATTGAATTATAACAAACTAGCTTCAAATAAGTAAATAACTTAGACAAACACATCATCAGCAACAAAGACAGAAAAAATGCCATTTTTTTTAATCTTCATCAAAGCACACAAGCCAAAATTAAAGTCCACCACAGAAATGATGTACAGGACCTACAAAATTGATGTTTTCTGACAGTAAAAAAGTTCATATGTTGTGATGAGACACCCAATGCCGAAAATGTATGACTAAAGCCAATGTCTGACAGACATCGCCCTAGTAACCAGTGGGTAGAAAACAGAAGTCTTACATTTGCAAAACCTCTATTTATTGTCAGTTCTCCCATGTAAAAGACCTATTGCACAAAAGAAGTAACAAAAACAAATCTCTCTGTTTCCACAATTAATATAGATCAAGTGGTGACAATATACACAGAAACAACAAGAAAAACTACTGATACAAATCTCTTAACTGTTCAATGCATTCAAGACCATACGGAAAACTGAAAAAACTCATTGGTTTCTAATTCCAGTTCACAGTTGTAGCTAAAAAGTGCCAACCAAACTGGAAACACAAAGCAGAGATTTAAGAAGTTCTATCTTCTTTTTTAAGCATGAGCTGGAAGAAAATGAAGGGAAACAAGCCTATATTAAGATGCGTCAACCTCCAGAACAACAGACAGTGTGGACTAAATCTAAGAAGGTCATTGCTCATGACTCTTTGCATTATGATAAAATCTTAATATTCCGTTGTGATAGCACAGGTAGTTAGCAAATTTTTGCCTGTCATCCTGATGATTCTTGACATGCTCACCAATGTGGATATTCAAAGACTGTTCATCTTTGACAAGCAAAACACAGAATGATAGGTGAGAAGGGGAGTCCAACCACATAGGCCCCACATACATGTTTTGAAACTCGGACTCATCTGAAAGCTTAAGGATGTGATAGTGAGCCCATTGATAGTGTGTCAAGACCCTTTCACCCACACTTGTTATCTCAACAATCTTGCTCAAGTGTGAACCACTAGTCAGGCTTTAACTCCACTTGAGTCTGATCCACCAATTTTTTATGAACAAGTGTCCAAATCAATCTTTACAAAAGCTCGTGTTCAAGAACCAAGCTTTTAATTGCTTATCTCTTCATGAGTCACATCATTATTACTATATTGAGAGTCCTTGCCCACTTCCTCCTTATATTAAGAGTTGTGTTCACACGACTTCAATACTAAGAGCCATCATTAATACTAGTACACTACCCTGTTTTCTGGAATGATCGCGTAGGATTGGTAGTCGATGCCACTTGCTGGGACATAAAAGGAGCGCTACCACATACTCAATATACATACTTGAAACTCAAACTCTCCTAAAAATCCAGCTAGTGAACCCACTCAAAATACTGAAACCCTTTCACTTATTCAATTTCAAATGTGGGATTACCACACATGATCTCTCAACACAAAACCCTATCAAATCTCTACATTTGACATGGTTAAAGGATCGGTTGGGACAATTTAATTTAGCAAATACTAAATCATGGAATTCCTTGAGATTTCATCTAATTTCTTCGAGATTTTTAGATCCACATGTTCATAAAAATAAATTCTAAAAACCAGACACCTCAGCTAATATTGATGAAGCCTGAAATCTTTATACCCTTTAGTCAACCTTTAAAGTTTAAAGTGATTTTAGTGTAAATGTAGATTAAGTGCTCTTACTTTTGGCACCCTTAAATGTTTATACTTCTTACTTGAAACTTGAAAGAACAGAGAAAAACAAATACACTTACATAGCCGCTTAATATAACAAACCCAGTACATAATTATTGAGTGAAAACAAGATCTCATGGCCAATAATTTTAACTGGGGGGTTAAAGGTAACAATGAAAAACGAAGAAAACCAACCTGTTCACTGTGTCCTTGTGGGAAGTAATATACGAGGCTTCCCACCTGAGGCAATGTCACCAGTGGACCAGCGCATGCGTGCCATAGCTCGGAACTTATTGGCTTCCTGACCCCTATAACAGTTTTGCATCATTTGCTTCAATTAAGATTATTAAGTATAGAACTAAGATATTGAAGGAAGAAACAGAACATTCTGAAAGAAACTGACCAGAATTCTCCTGCATTTCTTTCAACAACTTCATCTCCTCAAGCAGAGAATGAGTTCCACCAACCAACCCCCCTAATTTAGGTTTATGATCTTCAACAGAACCCATATGGCCACTCTCTACTTCAAGCTCAAAAACACAATCAAAAAACCCATCTTTGCATCAACCAATCAGCGCAAACACATCATTCAGCAATCAACATCCCAAAAAAAGTTTCATCTTCACAACCAAAAAGCACACAATTCGTCAAGCCAACCCCTAGAAAACCCAGATTTCTTCAGAAAGACCGAGGAATAACCATTAACCCACCCCAGGAAATTACATGTTTCGAAACTAAACAATTTCCCATTTGAAGAAATACCATATGCCCTCAACTAAAATGAGGAATAACAACTGATACGTACACCTCAAGGAATCACTTGTTCTTGGAGAAACTGAGGAACAAGCAACGACCCATCTCAGAGAATCTAGTATTGTGCGAGAAAACAATCTAATTGGACAGAGGCACAGAGAGCATGCCCCAAAAGTCCAAAACCAACCAAACCTGCAAAAAGGTAGAGAAATCTGAGTGGGGGAATTTCTCTATCATCAACAACCCATCAGAGAGCAAAGTAAAGAAACAAAAATATTGGGTCAGGTTTTGCATCAAAGCACGCGGACCAAAGCATGAGCGGTCGTTCATCAAGTGCTTTGTTTGTTTTTACATCTTCACTCTTCACCGTTTCACAAAAGAAACCGACTTTTCGATGAAAGTGGTCATCATACTAATTCCCCTCTTCCAAGCTTTGAGCCTTTGCCTTTTGTCTCTCTCTCGCTATCTCTCCCCCCTCTCAATCAACATAACACCAAAAGTCTCAATTTTTCTCTCTCCATAGTATTACTGTTTGGAGTCACTCTCTTCTCTTACTGGTTGCTTGAACACTGGAAAGTGTGTGCGTGCTCTTATCCTGCGCACACACTTTCTGTATATTTGTACAGGTGATTCCGTTGCAGCTTTAGACTCTGAGAGAATTTAGTATTGAAGAAATAAAAAAGAAAGGTGAAAAAAGCAGAGGAACACTATGCCAACACGAAAACTTACTCAAAACTTCAACAGTGGACAGGTTCAGAACTTCAAAACATTCATTTCTCTCTCTGTGTATTTTTTATTTTTTTTCTTTTAAAATAACAAAAAACAAAGGAGAGACCCTGGAAGGGATGATGTGTAAAGAGACGTAAAAGGTTGTTTCTTTCCTTTCTGCATTCTCACAAATTCACCACTTTTGGTCATTTTGCTTTTTGATTTTCTGAATATAAAGATGTTAGTCGGCTGCTTATCCTAAAAAGCTTAATACTTAACTTAATCCAAGAATACTCATTTTTTCAATAACCGTCCTCTAATGTTCGTACAATCAACCATATATCAAAAACTAAAAATTCAAACTTTTAAAAAATGTATTAAAAAAAGAGAGAGAAAGTAATGTATATATTCTTTTCCGAGTTGCTATAACTCTTTTATTTTCCACATTTGTAATTATTTTTATTATAGTTATAAGTATTTCTATCACCGTTGTGATACTCAAAAATAATTAAAAAAAAATAGTTACCACAATAATAATAAAAAACATACACAAATGTGATAAATCACCTATAAAAGTGGTAATTTTTTTTGTATTAAAAAAATTATCATAAATGTGATAAAAATATTCATAAAAATAATTAATTTTTTGATTATAAAATAACCCATAAAAATTATAAAAATACCATTTAAAGTGAGTCCGAATGTAATTTTTTTTTTTTTGTCAGACACTATTACGTAGAGGAATTATAATTTCAATAAGAAAGATAATATCCATTAGATTAATCACTAATCTCGGCCCAAATCCGAGTTCAAAACGCTCGGATCATATAATTATCCTATTTCTTATCCGATTTTTGGCACTTTTTCTTTTCTTGTTTTGTTTTAAAATTCCTCTTCCATTGGCTTTGGGATTTTTGTCTTGTGTAATGGGACTTTTTTCCCCTTCTCGCAGAATTGGTTAAACCTTTTTCTGGGCTTTCGTGTCTGTCTTAGTCTTAGATTTGACCATTCGTCACGCGTGCCGTTCACGACAAATTAATGAGAGGCGCAAGTTAGACATTGTTACACTTTTGTCAACACATGGGAAATGCTGACTGGTGGGCCCGGCCCATTCAACTCGTATCATAAGATAAATTATGGATTAATTACAAAATGTCCCTCCAAGATTAGATCAAGTTATAATCAACTCCCTATATTTTGAATTTCAACAATAATCCCCTCAAAACTTTGTACATTTTTTAATTAACTCAAATTGTTTGCTTTGACAATAAAAGTTAAGAACGCTCTATTCTATTATATAAATGTCATAACATTCAAATAACATTACTCTACTCTCGATTAGTCAAGATTTTGAGCAATTTTTAGGAACGTTTTTACAAAAGTCACTATAATCATACCCTCAAATAATAAACTCATTATTTTCAATAAAAATTGCCCGAATTCTACTCAATCGTTTGATTATGTGAATCTTGAAAGAGAAAACGATCAAATTAATAACAAATAATTTGACTACATGACCAAAAATTCTTTTTACCCACGCCACTTTTTTCACGTTTTAATGTAAATTCAAGATGCATTTAATTAAACATTTTTCATAGCTGGATCTTCAAATTTTAATATAATACCTCTATTTTCTCGTTCGAGCTAAGCTTTGAAGTTTATGAAAATCTTATTGAGGTTGACAAAGTTTTACAGTCAATTAGCAACAACCGTCTTGGATCAACCGAACGGAAGAAGCCAATTCTAAAAACTACAAACAGCATAATGACAAAGCTTAACCACCGAGACGACATCTACAAAGGTTAACTCCTCCAATGACCCAAATACAAGTCAAATTCAATTCCTTTGTTGTACGTGGACAAAGAATTCGTTTAAGTTGCATTTACAGTGTAATATTTTTATGTGAGAATAGAATAAAAGTGTGTAAAATAAAATTAGATGTACAATATTATTTTGATATTTAACAATAATTAGGATTAAAATATTATAGAAGTATTAAAATTTTATTTAGATTCATTTTGTTACACTAATAAATTTCTTAAGTCAGGCATACTCGACTCCAGAGTTTATATTCTGACTAAAACCAGACGAAATCTTCTAATTGAAATTTTACTCCAAACCTCAAATTCAAACCCAAACTTTGATCATATACCTAGATCCAATCCCTAATTTCAAATACATACTCAAATGTCGGCCCCTGCACAAGATTCAACCCTAGACTAGACCAAAGTTAAAGTGGAGGTGGAGATGGAAGTAAGATAATTGTGACGGTGATAGTGGTAGTTATAATGGTTGTTGAGAGCCGAGGTGGTGATAGAAAATGATAATGGTTTAGAATAGATAATATCACTTTGTGTTAAAAAATTACTAATTATTATGGAATTCGACATTCAATAATAATATTCGACAAAAAGAAAAGTGGGATAAAGCTAAGAATCGCCAATCTCGCATGTACCACGTGATGATATGCATGGGGACAACAAATATCGCGCATGCAATTGTGGGGGGGATGTGGGTAAAACTGATCCAACGGTCGATATCCAACGCTGAAATCGAGTGGGCACGCGAAGGAGTGCATAACTGTAGCACACTGTTCAATAGCTTTGGAACTTAAACTCGCCGTAATCTCAGCACAAAATTCCTCCCCTTCATACGATCAATATTCTCTTAGTTCCAATACCGTTTATTGTATCACACGTGTCACTCATGCAAATAGGACCCCACTATACAATTATTGACAAAAATTATAACTTTTTTTCGGATGCACCAATGAAACTTATTGCTTTTAAACACAAAACAATATCATGTTAACGTCAGGTTATTTTATTTGGTTCCATTTTTATAGTTTTGTTATTTAATTTGGCATTACATAATAGTATTAATTAATTCAATCAAAAAATTAATTAGTTTAAAAGTTAATTTATTTATTTTTTGAATTCTTAATTAATAATAGTAATGCATCATTATATATACAAACCGTAGATAATTTGTATTTGAGTTTAAGAATATGATCAAATTTAATTTTAATATCATATGAGTCTATCCATGCACAAGCAAATAAATATCATGGTAAAAAAAACATTTATATAATTAATTCAAAAAAACCATGTTAGGAGAAAGCTCTTACTATCGTAAAAATAACGTTATATTTATCAAATCTCTATTCTAAATGATGTAATATAATTTTTTATTATTATATAATTGAGTTATATTAATATTTAATGACGAGAATTATACCACATTATTTAATACGGAAGATTTGATATTTTTTTTTTTTTTTAGGTAAGGATAAGATTTTCCCCACCGTAAAGCCTAACCTAATCAGGCCACAAAGTCCCGCAAAGCTGAAAAGGTATGCTTTCCTTCCAAAAACCAAAATACTGTGGGATCCACATCGATATGTAATAGTGTTTTAGGGGCCCATCTCCTGGTGTTCGGTGATAGCTGCTACCAACTTTAACAAAGCTGTAGGTGTAAAACAAAGTAGTAGAACCAACTGGGGTAGCCCATTTCGCTAAAGTCTCTGGCTTTTCGGTGAGAGGTCAGATGTTCAAAGTCTTCTGGAAGCAAAAGTGTGGTTATTTGATAGGATAAGATTTTAATTGTTTGGATGAATTGTATTTAATTTTTTAATGTGGGTCTTAAATCTCCAGAGAAACATAAATCTTAATTTAACTGGTATATGAGTTGAGAGACCGATTCATACCTTGGATTTTACTTTTAGTTCTACTCAGAGTTACGAGCCTAAGCAACATAAGCATTCCTCTACTTGTTGAGGACAGATCATGAGATTTCTCCATTTCCGGGAAAAAAAAAAAAAAAGAGAGACAAATCAATTGTAAATTTTGATTTTATGAGTTTGAAATTTAGTAATTTTTTTTGGTCAAATTTATTCTTTATAATTTTCATTATTTCGACATAAATGAATTGTTATACTAAAAAAGAGTTTAATTAAAATACATATAAACTATTTTGATCATCTTTGACCGTAATAAAAAAAGAAGTTGTAGGTGGACCATTATATTCATGGTTGAGAAATTAATAACTG